ATGATTATTTGCCAAGAGATTATTTTCAAATTGCAGGTTGTTGCGAGGGATTTTTGGACAATTGAGTTCAATGAATTGAGCTGGCTTCGATGGAACTTATTTGCTGGATTTCGAACCCAGATCTGCTGGATTCTGTCGAACTTCATAAGGGATGGGCAAAGAAGCAATTGTTAGTAGTGATGTGGGACCCATTTAGATGAATTTGGTGTATTTTCGCCAGGTAGCATGTGAGATGGCAAAAGTTGCATGCGTGTCATCACTTTTTTAAGTTTTGCCTTCCACATCATCAAAAAGAATATAAAAAATGCCACCTAAACAGGGTTAACGGCCCAAATTAACAGAAGGACTAACGGAATGCATTTCGTATAGTTGAGGGATCAAAAAAGTTTAAAAAATTGTTGAGGGACCAAAAATGTTCATTTATTAAAGTTAAGGGACCAAATTAAGCATTTAACCTTTTTTTTTATAAGCTTTGATTTGAATCTGTTTAGGGCCTATTTGTTTTAACTTGTGAGAGTTTTTATTTTTTGAGTATTGTTATGAATAATAAGTTTAAATTTTTATTGAAAAAAAAAATTAAAAGCTGCTTTAAAGATAAGAAAGAGTAAGTTAAAAGTAAGTAAAAATAAAATTTATGAAAAGTTTGAATTTGAAACTTTTAAATTTTTATTGTTTGAGATCTTTTAAAGTTAAGAAAAAACTTAAAAATATAAGTTTTTTTATAAAAAATTTAAACTTATGAAACATATATAATATCAAAAAACTTAAACTCCTAAAAACTCAACCAAACATCCCTTAATTTTCTAAGCATCCCACGGCAGGGCGTTCCTCTTCAGCCACGTGACCAACGTCACCGACGGACCGGAGCAGGAGCGGATGATGCCGACCGGTCTCCACACGGTGGCTGACGTATCCTGCCACGACTGTGGGGAAGCGTTGGGGTGGAAATATATACGTGCCGTTGAGGAATCGGAGAAGTACAAGGAGGGAAAAACAGTGCTTGGAAAGTTCCAAGATTTCCGAGCAAAATTGGTAGCAAATCAAATATCAATGGTTAAATGTAAATTTTAATATCTGAACTTTTAATTCTTCAATTTTTTTGTATTGTTTTTGGTATTAAACTATAAAAAATATATTTTTTTAATCTTTTATTAGTTAATATGTTAAATTTGTTTAAATATATATTTTTTAATTTTAATATTTTTAATATATACACATTTTAGTCCTTAAACTATAAAATTTAGAGATTAAAAAATATATATAAATAAATTTAGCAAATTAATCGATGAAATGACAAAAAAAGTACAATTTTCAAAGTTAAAAGATGAAAAAATGTAAAAAAAAAAGTTGAAGAATGAAATTTGTTCAAAATTGAAAGTTTAAGGACCAAATGTGGCATTTAGCTAAGATCAACTTTTTTTTTTTAATATTTTAATTATGGGACCGACTCGAACGTTACCTTTAGAGAAGGGAATATGAACCAAGGTTTTTAAACCGAACCAATTATTAAACCATTTTTAGGTTTGGTTGGTTCAACCGATGAACCAGTCGGTCCAAACCACAAGGAAAATATGATGAGAGGGTAGGTAATTTTGTAATTTTATTAAAATTAAGGGTTAAAATCGATATAAGAAAGGAATGGTGAGGGTGAAATTGGAAAAAATAAAAAGAAAATTACATGAGAAATTGAACCGATGGTTTTTTTGGTTTTATCGGTTTCACTGGTTTTATCGGTTTTGATCGATTTTTAACCAATTTTGATCTCAAACAATTTTTTATGTAAACCAAACCATTTTCATTACCGAATACCAATTCGACCGGTTCAACCGACCGATCCAATTGAGTTTTAAAAACCTTAATATGAAGCTTATAAAAGTGGCTATAACCACTTAACCCACGGGTCAGGTTCTAGCCAAGACCAATTTAATCCTTCTCTGTTGATGCAAATTGCAGAGCAAAAGTCTTTCCTATTAAATGGTTGAATTGAATTATGCAAGTGTCAGAATTGGGGAATGAATGAATATAGGGGAGGGGCTAAGATGTCGCTATTTAGAAAGAAATTTAGGAGTAAAACCATCTACTAATAAATAAGAATGCCATGTAATAATTTAAGTTAGTTATTAATACATCTATTAATACACACGATATGTTTTTAAAATTATATCTAAGAAAAAACTAATATTAATTTATTTAAACTAATTCAAAAATAGGAATGGCAATAGATTGCTGTTGGTGTGGGGACCCCCTCCCCATTCCTCTCTTTGTTAATGGTAGGTACAAGAATCTCTACAAAGATTTTGATGAAAGGCAAAAAATGTGATCTGTCCATATTTCTACGGGAAATGGTAAGTTTTTGCAAGTATATGAATTTTTTACTAAATATTAAAATTATAAAATTTAACCTCATTTTTTTTATAAATAGATTTTATAACATTATATAGAGAGTAATTTATGAGATATAAAAACAAAAACATGTAGTAGTGAAAAACATGCAAAGTTTTTCACAAACACCATAAAAAATATGATATAAAAAAATAGAAAAAGAGTAGAAATTAAAAACAAACAAATGCATACAATAGTCCAACAAATACATATAACATGCTAGTACATGCATACAATCTAGTAAATACATACAACAATGTAACAAATGCATATAGTCCAATAAATTAAAAAAAAAATATAGTATAAAGAGAGTAGAACTTAGAAATAAATTGGGTTTTATATTTTTATAAATTATATTATAATTTATAAAAATATAAATTTATGTTGGATTGGGTAAAAATTAATTGAGCTTTATATTTTTATAAATTATAATATAATTTATAAAAATATAAATTTATGTTGGATTGGGTAAAAATTAATTGAGCTTTATATTTTTTAAAATATA